GGAATGGACGGTGTAAGAAATACCAATGAAACCCAATTGTGTGAAGCATGCATTCAAGGGAAGCACCATCGTTGTCCGTATCCAAAGAATGCTACCTTTCGTGCAAAAGAACCATATGAACTCGTACATAGCGATGTATGTGGACCAATGTCCATAACTCCATACCTTCATTTGGTGGATCAAGATATTACGTAACCTTCATTGATGACTATTCCCGATACACTTTTGTATATTTCATTAAGAATAAGAGCGAAGTACCAGAAAAGTTTATCCAGTTCAATACCTATGTTATGAATGCCACCGGAAAGTCAGTCAAGATTCTACGTTCCGACAATGGTGGAGAGTATTCATCGAAAGAATTCCAATCCTTTCTGAAGAAGAATGGTATCCTTCACCAACTGACTATCCCGTACAACCCAGCGCAGAACGGTGTAGCAGAAAGGATGAACTGCACAATTGTCGAAACAACTAGATCAATGTTGTCTCATGCAATGATGCCGAATGAATTCTGGGCAGAAGCTGTCAACACCTCGGTCTACGTGCGAAACCGCAGTCCAACTACAGCTTTAAACGGTACTATTCCATATGAATGCTTACTCGGCAAGAAACCGGATGTATCCAACTTACGTGTGTTCGGATGTATCGCATACATGCATCCCGGACAATCAGAGAAAGAAATTGGATGTGAAATCAAGGAAGTCAATTTTCGTGGGTTATCCAAACGACATGAAGGGATATAAGTTATATGATCCCATTGGTCGTAAATTTCTTCGAAGTCGTGACGTTGTATTTCTAGAGAAGAAATTCCATAACTTTGATGTGCAAAGCTCATTAAGTTTTGATGATGATTCTGATGTTAAAGTTCCGATCAAAATGGAAGAAATTCCCGTGAACGTAAACCAAGACCAAGCCGAAGCTATTGATCAAGAAGTTGCAGACAATGTCGAGGGTAACCAACCGGCCAATGATCAACCAGCTGATAACGAGCCAGTGGGAGCAACCTTTGAAGATAGATTCATGAACGAAGTCCGCAATATTGGAGAACGAAGAACGCGAAGACCACCTAATAGATTTGACGAGGAGTGCTACGTAGCAAATGATTTAACAGCAGATATTAACGAGCCTATCAATGTTAACGAAGCCTTTTCTGGAGAACATTCAACAGAATGGAAACAAGCTTGTGATTCCGAATTCAACTCGCTAATCGAGAATGACACCTGGGAACTTGTCCCGTTACCTGAAGGAAAGAACATTGTAGGAAGCAAATGGGTGTTTAAAGTGAAAAGAGACGAAAACGGTGATGTCCAAAGATACAAAGCTCGACTAGTAGCTCAAGGTTATACGCAAGCAGAAGGAATCGACTACTCTGAAGTGTTTTCTCCCGTCGTGCGTGCGAACACAACGATTCGAACTTTACTAGCTTTGTCAAATGCCAAGGATTGGGAAATCCATCAAATGGATGTCAAAACGGCATTCCTACAAGGAAATTTGGAAGAGGAAATATATATGCAACAACCAGACGGTTACGTCGATAAGAACTATCCAAATCGTGTTTGTAAGCTCAAGAAGAGTATATATGGTTTAAAACAATCCGCACAGTGCTGGAACAATGCAATTGATACATTCCTGAAATCGTGCAAATACCAGCAAATGAAATCCGATCCATGCTTGTACATGAAATCAGTCAAAGATCAGAATGGAATTATCAAATTCGTTATCCTACTAATTCATGTCGACGATATTCTGTTATTTTCCAATGATTTGTCCATGCTAAACAAAGAAAAGAAGCTTATCGGTTCGAAGTTCAAGATTGAAGATATGGGTGAAGTGAAACACGTTCTTGGAATGTTAATTAAAAGAGACAGAAGAAGAGGAAATATGACAATTAGTCAAACTAAGTACCTGGAAGGAATTCTGAAGCGATTTGGCCTCGAACATTGCAAACCAGAATCCCTTAGAATCTGGAAAGCATTACTCAGAATTGCCGGATGATGAAAATCCTAGCAATATCAATGAATACCAAAAGCTCATAGGATGCCTAACATATGCAACGACCGCAACTCGACCAGATTTAGCGTCAGCTGTAGCTATACTATCAAAGTACATGTCAAAACCGAGCAAGGAACATTGGCAAGGTGCAAAACGAGTGCTGAGGTACATCAAAGGAACTATAAACTACGGACTGGTATTCGAAGGCAAAGATTCGAAATGTTCTTTGATTGGTTACTCAGATGCAGATTGGGCAAACGACCCAGATACAAGAAGATCAACATCTGGATATTATTATTTTTATTACAAATCTTTACAGAGGGTAAACATTTCAGTGCAAAGACACTGTTATCAATATGTGCCCTCTCTACTCCTAGATTAAAATACAAGCAATAAAAATAGTTATAAAAAAGTTAGTTTAAAACCTGTTGTTCAATCTAGCTATTTTGAAGGTCTTTCAAAAATTTAAAATTAAGTTAATTAAAACTACAGTTCACATATACCTATTTATAATAGTCTTTCAATAGTTTAAGAAATTGGTCATAATCTCCTTCCCATCTTATTCCGATTGGCAAATCATTATAGATTTTTGCACCCAAATAATAAAATGATTGTTTCGCAAACTCTAACTTTACTTTACTAACTTTAGGTAGTTTTAGCAAAAGATTATTGTTCCTTGTGTTGATACTACCAGTTTTAATTTCAAAATAGTTATCAAAGTTGGTACACATCCGATTGTCTAGGCATTTTCTTACAATACTACATGACTGTTTATGTAATATCTTGATAATAGAGGGCATATGACCATGTTCTTCAGGAGTAATGATGTTTTCCGCGCGACATTCAATTGATTGAAACTTGTCTAACTGAGTCTTCGTGAACTGAAGTTTCAAAAGCCCAGAGTACGTAACAAAATTGGGAGAATCATAGATTTATATATTCTGTTAGCAGCATCCGAGCTTACATGATGTCTTAATCTGGATAAGAGCTTGTCTGCTTAATCTGGATGAGAGCCCGTTTATCACCGAATGTCAGCGTTTTCTAATTGATCGGCGATTTCCCTAAGGTATAGCTCTGGATGTCTGAGAATTATTTCACATTTTGCCAGTTCCTCATGCTGGTAAAGTGTTGTGCTACAAAGGGGCCTGCCAAACTTATGGGGCGACGTAACGTTATCAGTATTATTAAATAAACAGGTTGAAAACGCTCTACTGTCCTTGGCGAAACAAACAAATCGACAGCAACTCTGGTTGAAGACCTGTTATAAAATAATTTCTGCCACACAATCCCCCATCTTATATCGTCTGAATACAACCTCGCAAGCCAGGCTCTTTTACCTACGCTCCACGGCCCACGCTGCGGCAAAGACCCTGGTCAAGGCTGGTCACGTGATTCTTTTGTTACGCTTCTCCCGTGTGGGGATGGGTGGGACACAAGTAGCGCATAGATCACATCAGTTAAAACAGCGTGTTTCTAAGGACTGAATCTGATTGAGCGCTGTTGTACTGCAAAGCGAAATAACCTGTGTCGTTATTGTTATTTGACCTCTAAATTCGCTCATCAACGCCAAAATTTAGAAGATAGCACAGGCCTTCGAGTGTCTGTATTGAATATCAACTGAACTTGTGACGATACTAAAACCGATTCTATCGACGATGATACAGTCTACACATAGCACTTGAATCTAAATTCGGTTTATTGCTCTTTTTAGTTTTTTACTGCGCCACACTAGCTGTATTTATTTCGTTTATAGCGTGAACCGCTATTTTTAGTTGCGTTAGTACAAAGTCATCTGGATTGTGACAAGTGCTAAAAATAGCAGAAATGGTATATCGACTTTGCCACTCCTCCCATGGATATGAACTAAGCGCTAATTAAAAACCTCCCATATTTTGGGAGGTCACATGACCAGCCTTGACCAGGGTCTTTGCCGCAGCGTGGGCCGTGGAGCGTAGGTAAAAGAGCCTGGCTTGCGAGGTTGGTCTGAATACGGCTTAGGCATTTTACAACAAAAATATCCCAACTAAGCAATAACCTTGAAGCCATTTTGCAGCGTTTGCATGCGTAATTAGATATGACACGTGATGGAAATATGTGGTCACATGTCACAACTATTGCGGTGCCCGCGCCAAGTTTGGCACCGCATTATATTCTGCCTGTGAGTTTGTTTGTTCGCATCAATACGTTTCCTTAATCGCCTAGTAAAAATTCCTTGCACATGCTTGGAATGCTTGGAATTTTTTCCTAATTATTACTATTAATCTTGTTGTACGTTTGCCAAATTCCTTTTTTAAAGGAACGTTCTTTTTTCAATTTCAATCTCAAACTCTGATAATTGCGTGTATCTCTGCTTTTATGCACCCAAGAAGGACAAAAATACCACCATTCGATTCAGCGTAAGAAATTATACTTACAGGTCTTAAATATATTACTAATCAAGAGTATTCGCAGCGATTTATGACGTTTGGAAGACAAACGAAATTGAATTGTTGACAAATCGCTCAAAATTACTATGCTATACTTTACTAGTAATAGTAAGTTTGGTCTTTGATATCTTTCATATCGTTGGTTTTCTCTTTTAATTTTCGTCCTTAAATAAGTGGATCGGTCTTAGTATCGTTGCTCTTCTAGTTTCCGGCTCTACACCAGTTTATTCGTCTCACGTTTCTCTTCATTTTGATAGTATTTTTAGATAGTATTTTTATCCTAAATAGTTTATTTCTGAAGATTTTAAAACGGCGCAATTTTGACCTTAACGTACCAACCAACCAGGCTGCGGCCGACAAGAGAATGTAAGTTGGTGATGCCGTTAGAAATGAGCGGACGTTTTACTTCTAGGCAAGCATTGCGGGCACCGCATTTTAGTACTGTGTCTGGTTTGTATATATTTTCGGAATTCGGACAACCTTTCCTAGATCCACAATATATATATATATATATATATATATGTTGGTTTATATATTACACAATCTAGTTTCAAATTAAATATAACTTGGTCATACAGTACTGACCTGTATAGCTGCTTGTAAGTCACAGAGCGATAAATATGTCCTTCCAATGTTAAATGCTATCTTTGCCGAGGAATCTTTCATGTCTCTGAATTTATCGAGCGAACGTTGAAAGTCACCTTCGTTATAACTTTCCACAGCTTCTTTCCACGTTTGAAGGTTTTCAACCAAAGTCATGTTTTAAGATTGATTTGTCTAGATTTGATTATTCGCGGCTCCTCAGGGCCTCTTGGAAACCAATATTAAAAGTTTATAGTTACGGCCAATTCCAGAGCAAATTCATAGGCGCAGAGGTGCGAAATTTCCCACATGAAACGTCAATTCCTTGTAATTGTGCGAGATTCCCCCATCCTCGTCCCCAGGGCCTAGCTCCGTTGCTCTCCTATGTGGAGAGCAACGGAGCTAGGCCCTGGGGACGAGGATGAGATTCCCCCAACACGATCTCCAAATGAGATTCGTGATTATCATGAAATGTTAAATTCAAATGAATTCGTGATAACCATGAATGCCATGCATGCGCAGATGACATCGAATTTAAACAGTTGTACGCATTGAAATTTAAAAACCATAGCACATGGGAGCAGGCTAATAAATTAAATATTGTTTACAATTTTAGTGTTTTTTTGATGTGCAAAATTGATTAGTTGGACTCGATAGTAAATATACTTGTGCAGTATGTCGTCACGGTCACGAAAAAGTAAAACTCCGACTACTGAAGAGGCATTACAACGCGTAAAAGATCTTTGTTCGCTACACTCGAATTCGAAGCTGAAAAGGAAAAGGAAGCCTGTTCGGTTTGAAATTAACACCGATCCAAAAACAGGTCTTCGTCATTTTAAGGGAACATATGATCCCTCAAAAGGATCTAGACGCAAAGGTTAGACTCACTGACCAAGTATATATGCTTATAAATGCTTCATAATTCGTCTATTTTCGTCATATATACCATAATTCATCTATTTTCGTCATATACCTTATTATCATAATCTGGGACAAATATTCTTGAAAAGAATGGCATTCATTTTTAAATCATTTTGCTAAGATAAAATAAAAATAATTAAAATATCGCCCATCCAAAAGGGCAATTTCATTTTATTTCGATTACTGTACACGTGTATATTCAGCAATTAATGAGTGTTTTGCACTTGTAAAGTAGATGTGTACATATATTTTCAAGATGCTGCAATATCTGGTGAGTGCTCAAGCGACATGTTTGATGACCGTGACTTTAATAATGAGGAAATCCAAGTAAATCAAGGTATTGTGAACATTAACCTTATGGACATTTATCATAGTATGTAAGGTCAATTAATATGATAAGCATGGGTTGATATTTTACCAATATGGTACTGGTATAAACTATTCATGCATTTGTATGGTTAATTCATAGAAAAAAGTCTGGATGATTTGATTGGTTATTGCAAAACCCTTTTGGAATCATTGCCTGTCACAAAACCTGAAGAATCAAATTGGTCTAAGAGGATGACCAATATGCAGGAAGATTGGACAAAGTCAAGAAGTTCACTCTTTAACTGGGTAGTTTCTAATGAAAATCACCACTCAGAAAGATGTTCGTTCTGTTTTGGAAGTGATGCCAATATAAGATGTCATCAATGTGGTCTATCATTCTATATATGTAATGTCTGTGATAGTAGAATACATTCACAAAATCCTTTCCATGACCGTGAAATATGGAATAGTAGGTGTTTTGAAGCTGTTTCACCTATGGAAAAGGTTGATGAATATAGCAGAATTAGCTCAGGTTGGTAATTACTGCACAGTGATTGTTCTAGGTTTATTAAATGAGTATAATGAAACTCTACCCAATTCACAATGAATTAAAATATATTTGTTTACAGTACTAATATGCTTTTTAGAGAGATTTCTACTTTTTGGCCCTGCAAATTGTCCTTCATGTGAGAAAGTGGATTCTTTGACATACCATGCCAAAAAAGAGACAATAACTGTTGTAAATACTAATGGTAAGAAGTTTGGTTATATTGGGCCCTTGTGGACCCTTAACTTTAGCATCTACTGTCACTGGTACCTAGCTGATTTGGTAATTGGTCCATCTACCCTAGGGAATTCATTCAGATGCCTTATGCCCTGATGCATACTACTATTCTGCTTAAGGCGAGATGATTTAACTTATCAAAGAAAGAGCATGGGCACTAAATGGATTAATACTTTTCCACCCATGTGTCTAGTTAACCTATTGAGTTCCATTGCGCCCTGATTCACATTACTTATATATAAATATAAGAAGTAATATTAATTTGGTATATTATGATTGATTTTGAATGATGTATTATTTTTAGGTCGATTCGATTTCAACAAATATACAACAAAATGTGTTAATTGCAGTTTGGTTTGCGAACCGTTATCCAATCTTCAATTGATTTTGCAAAATGGTTATTGGCCTGGCAGTGTGGGATCATCTCTGTCATATATCTTTGACCAAGATTTATTTCGTTTGTGGGACATATTTCAGAAAAGAATGCCAGGAACATCACAGAAAAGTTTTCTGGAGGGATTAGAAGAATTTTCATTGAGCAAAGGAAGGGTGTGTTCTATTTTTAAGCATAATATATTGCATTAACAACTTCAGGGTTCCATACAAAAAAATATCTCAAGCAGAATTAGTAAGACTTGCTAAATGTTAAGTATTCTTAATTATTATTTGTTAGTAGAGATTGGTAAAATAGTGTATCCTTTGATTCTTGATACTGCTAGCTAATTTAATGAAGAATTAACACATTAATACAGCCTACAAAATTTATTTAATACTATTTTTTTCTTTTTTATTTCTTATTAAGAGTGGTATTATCAACCCAACTATATTCTCCATTGCATTCAAAGAGTGGAAGTATTGTCAATTTGAAATAGAATCCTTAAAGGGTATGAATTGGATGGAGTGCCCTTGTTGTGAAAAAGAGCAGCATTCATGCCATGTTGATGGCAATATGAAACTCTATCGTTATAAACATTCTGGCTTGTGAGTATCTTAAATGTAGTTCATCCAATATATGTGTATTTAGGAAATGAATAACCGAAATAAATTAGGATTGTACAAATAAGATGTTGTTTACTATCCAATAAGACAATGTTCATTTTTTGACACAATTGTGTTAACTCAGCATTTCAGCTCCTATCAAGACTCAATAAACCAGATGAGAGACTATATATTTGTTTTCCACTTACATAGGTCACGGTCCCAGTGCTATTATGGAAATGTTTTTATTGCAGACAACAATGATGTTAAACAACATCTGCAACAATTGTATCAAGGAGATCTGGTTTGTTGTTACAATATTTGCACATTACAATTTACAAGTTCCATTATTGAATATATGTATAACCTGTAATTACACCTGACACTGTTTTAAAACAGGGTGTACAAGAAAACAAATGTGGAGAGACAACATGGAAAGCAGCAAGAAACAAGAATTTCAAAAAAGCTAAGCTAGATGAAACAGGGTTGGACATTGCTGGCTGTCGACATTCTGTTGCTCAATTTGCTGTCAACATGTTTCAAGGAGAATTGTATGGCTATGCACATTATATTCTTGCCAAAAAGTTCTTGGAAAAGCCACTAAACTTTTTCTGGCAGGATATAATGTGTAAATTTTGGAACTGGGCACAAAAAGCAGATCCAGCATTTAATGGGTATCAGATCAAACCAGCTCTGTCAGTCATGCATGCCAAAGCACATAACTGGACATGTCAGGTACAACATACATATTTGCTGTAAATTTGCAAATCATCAATATAGCAATATACTAGCAACATGCTAAAGTTATTTAAAAACAACAATTATTCCTCTAATTTAACTATGTTTTTTATGATATTTGAAATATATTTATTTTCTCCATCCTCTATGTTAGTGATTGGGGAGGCAGATGGCAACAAGGGGCTGCATGTGCCACTGGAGAGGAAGTAGAGCAAATCAACTCCTATTTTTCCAGGCTTGGTAATACTACAAAATATATGCTGCCAGAAGGTGAGCACATGGTCATGGATGTATGATTTTGTATCTTGAAGAAATGATAGGGAAATCAATAGACAATACAATACCAGATTTGATGGAAAATTTATTTGGAAAATGTATTTTAACTTTCTGAAGTATTGAATAAATAAATTCAATACATGTAATTTTGTTTTCACTCTTGCTGTAGGTCGGGATGAAATGTTGACTGAATGCGCAAGGGCATGGAACAAGCGTAAGATAAACAGCCTGGTTCAATACCTATGTAAACGATACTATCGCGTGAGTATTGCATATACGTTTACTGTATGAGGTTTTATGTTTTTTGTCAACAATTCTATACCAATTAATTAAATAACTCGAAGAATGTTTTGGGAGTTATTTTATATGATATTTTAATATTGTTTTTTAATAGGCTGTTGAAATGTCAAAGCATTCATTACAAAAGTTGGATGAATCAGTCGATGACCTGTCTTTAGGTAAAGCAGAAATAAAGTACTCAGATTGGAAATCAGAAGTTCAGAATGTTGCCAAAGGTATAATAATAATATTTACTCGGTACAAGCTTTGTAGACTTTATAGCTACATGTAAATATTTTAGAGATGCGTCAGTATCGTTACTATTTAGCTACACATTGCCATTTCTTGGCATTTCTTGCCAACTTGGCATATGGAAGACCGTCAATTTTTCAAATCTATCTGTGATATTGTGTATTGAAGATTTCCCCGTTCTGACGTGTTTAAACTGTAATAGAAGAATAAAACGTCTTTCTTTTGACTTCTTAGCGGAGGAGTTAATAAGTGGAAGGAAAACTGAAATGACTGCTCAAGAGCAATATTTTCTATTTTCTGAGCACTTACGTCAAATGCAGCTTTTAGAAAATCTTGAATGCTCTTTAGCGCCTGTCGTGGGTGCTGTTCTAACCTACCAGAACATGTACAGTTCTCACATAAAGAAATTTAAAGACGTACCTGCTATCGAAAAGAGATTGAAAGATTTAGAGAGTGATTTTGAGGAATTTGACAGACCAAGTGTCATAGAAGAGGGAAAACGTTTGTTAGTTCAGAGAAGTCTTAACGTTCTTCAAACGAAAATTGAAATGGTCTATTTCTCTATTGTAAAAAGGACGTCGGCTATTTCGAAACTTGCTGGTAATTAGCTACGTTTGCATTTCTAAAACTACGAGTGCTGTATTCCTTTACATTCAAAGATTTCTTCAATATATAGTATGTATATATATGTTTATCAATGAATGTTCTCCGGATTTAAAATTGTTTTTTATTGAGCTTTCGACTCGGTACTTCGAGTCTTCTTCAGAATATCTAAATTATTTACATATATATATATATTAAGTATGAAGTTTAAAACATTTGGCATAATTGAGCTGTAAAACGTCTATACCTCTATCGTATTTTAAGCATCAATTGTATTTTAATATTTAGATACTTCAAAACAAAGAGCAAAGTTGAGGCGGAAAACTGTAGCTGACAAGGAGCAGATGAAAAATTTGGTTGAACAGTACTCTGCGCTCTATGACGGTAACAAACCTATTGAGTTCGCCGCTGTATTAGCTGGGAAGTTTCCTTGGATACAAGAAAACAAAAGCGTTTCAGGTACTAATGCTTTAATATATTTTGCTCTATCATGCTCTAATTAATATATTTTTGCAAATCTAAAATGCAATTAATTTATGTCAAAATATTTATTTCTTTAAGACATACCTGTACGTGTGAAAGCGATGGTGGTTGAAAATTACTTAATCTCCGAAAGATGGAAAGAAGAGATTGAGTTGGTGAAGACTGAGATGGAACGTTTCCTGGCGTATTATTCGAAGCACGTTTTGCCGAAACTTCTCGACGAGATAACAGCAATTAGTAACTTGTCTGGTAAGTACAGTATACAGAAATGTTACTTATGTCTGTTAAATTACCGGTAATATAAATTGAAACCATTTGGTTTTTATATAGAAAATGATAATGCGATGGATATTGGCGATCGTTCGCCCAAAGCTAGTAACGAAAGAAGTGATATCACTGAAGATGAAGAGGTAGATATTTCAAATCCGTTAATTAATCCTTGACTGTAACTATAGTGTTAAAATTTTAATATGGTTGTGTTGGTAATTTCTCTTTTAGTTTGTGCAGTATAAAGTGAAGAATGCTTCTCATTCGTACCTTTGCGGCTTGCAAGCATTGAAAAAGAAAGGTTTAGAGTATTGCATTAAACAACTAAATATGGGTGTCGAGCATTTTAGTAGAATTACGGCTGGAGACTATTCGAAAGTTCAAGAATGCTTTCATGGTTTTCCGTGGTCCTTAAGCGAAGGTGATTCGGGTATGATTGAAGAGGATATTTCCGATAATGATTTTGACGGCAATGAAGAAGATGACGAGAACGACAATGATGAGTACAGCGGTGATGAAGACGGCGATAATATACGTAAAGGACGATTATTTGTACAAAGCATTTAGAATTTGTGTAAAATATTGCATGCCTATATAATAAAATATTAATTATGTCACTATGTCATAGTTCCCCTACATTGATCATTAGAGATCGCTTGTTATAATAGTTGAGCATACCGAAAAAGATGTACATTTAATAACTGCAATGCATTGCGGTGAGAAATCGTTTGGAAAAGCAAATTGACGTATTTCGAAGGACATGCATCAAACAGGAGGTTATTTCCCTTTTTGTGATAAACTTCTACGTCCTTAAGTGCTTTTCTTACCATCTTTTTTCTGTCATTTATTCTTGATGTCTGGAATGCATATAGCTATATGCACATGTAGCCATCTTTTTCCCTATGGTCAATTGAATAAACTTTTAATCTCCATGTGTACATGGGAGCTGTATTAATAAATATCTAAATTATATTATAGGATTAACACAATATTCAAAATAGATTATCTGTAAAACATGTACATATAAAAGTATAAAACATAAATGAATATATTTAAAAATAGACCTATTCTAAAGAGAAAGACAGGCATGTTTCGAGTTACGCAAAACAAGGCTAGTCAGATTTTCCCTGCTGAATTTAAAGCCATTTGTTCACTTTTTTGCCGGACCTGTTGCAAGCTTCAAAGTTTTTTTCCGTCAAAACAGTTTATAAATATAGAATAATATTGAAATTTTGACAGCGGAGCACCTCACTAGCCTTGTTCTCGCGTAACTCGAAACAGGTCTATCGCTTTTTCTGGAATAGGTCTATACAACTTAATTTTGTTATTTCCATATTAGTGATGAATACTCATATTAGTATTTTAATAATACTAAATACCGTGAAAATACTCCCAAAATTGAAAATGAAAATTGAAAATAAGATCATACTTAGAACAGTACAAGAGGGTCGTAGCAGTTTTATACTATATCCGTGAAAATACTCCCAAAAATTGAAAATGAGATCATATTTAGAAGAGTACAAGAGGGTTGTAGCAGTTTTATACTATATCCGTGAAAATACTCCCAAAAATTGAAAATGAGATCATATTTAGAACAGTACAAGAGGGTTGTAGCAGTTTTATACTATATCCGTGAAAATACTCCCAAAAATTGAAAATGAGATCATATTTAGAAGAGTACAAGAGGGTCGTAGCAGTTTTATACTATATCCGTGAAAATACTCCCAAAAATTGAAAATAAGATCATATTTAGAACACTACAAGAGGGTTGTAGCAGTTTTATACTATATCCGTGAAAATACTCCCAAAAATTGAAAATAAGATCATATTTAGAAGAGTACAAGAGGGTCGTAGCAGTTTTATACTATATCCGTGAAAATACTCCCAAAAATTGAAAATGAGATCATATTTAGAAGAGTACAAGAGGGTCGTAGCAGTTTTATACTATATCCGTGAAAGTACTCCCAAAAAATTGAATGAGATCATATTTAGAACACTACAAGAGGGTTGTAGCAGTTTTATAATATATCCGTGAAAATACCCAAAAATTGAAAATAAGATCATATTTAGAAGAGTACAAGAGGGTCGTAGCAGTTTATACTATATCCGTGAAAATACTCCCAAAAATTGAAAATGAGATCATATTTAGAAGAGTACAAGAGGGTCGTAGCAGTTTTATACTATATCCGTGAAAGTACTCCCAAAAATTGAAAATGAGATCATATTTAGAACACTACAAGAGGGTTGTAGCAGTTTTATAATATATCCGTGAAAATACTCCCAAAAATTGGAAATAAGATCATATTTAGAAGAGTACAAGAGGGTCGTAGCAGTTTTATACTATATCCGTGAAAATACTCCCAAAAATTGAAAATGAGATCATATTTAGAACAGTACAAGAGGGTTGTAGCAGTTTTATACTATATCCGTGAAAATACTCCCAAAAATTGAAAATAAGATCATATTTAGAAGAGTACAAGAGGGTCGTAGCAGTTTTATACTATATCCGTGAAAATACTCCCAAAAATTGAAAATGAGATCATATTTAGAAGAGTACAAGAGGGTTGTAGCAGTTTTATACTATATCCGTGAAAATACTCCCAAAAATTGAAAATGAGATCATATTTAGAACAGTACAAGAGGGTTGTAGCAGTTTTATACTATATCCGTGAAAATACTCCCAAAAATTGAAAATAAGATCATATTTAGAAGAGTACAAGAGGGTCGTAGCAGTTTTATACTATATCCGTGAAAATACTCCCAAAAATTGAAAATGAGATCATATTTAGAAGAGTACAAGAGGGTTGTAGCAGTTTTATACTATATCCGTGAAAATACTCCCAAAAATTGGAAATAAGATCATATTTAGAAGAGTACAAGAGGGTTGTAGCAGTTTTATACTATATCCGTGAAAATACTCCCAAAAATTGGAAATAAGATCATATTTAGAAGAGTACAAGAGGGTTGTAGCAGTTTTATACTATATCCGTGAAAATACTCCCAAAAATTGAAAATGAGATCATATTTAGAACAGTACAAGAGGGTTGTAGCAGTTTTGTACTATATCCGTGAAAATACTCCCAAAAATTGAAAATGAGATCATATTTAAAAGAGTACAAGAGGGTTGTAGCAGTTTTATACTATATCCGTGAAAATACTCCCAAAAATTGAAAATAAGATCATATTTAGAAGAGTACAAGAGGGTTGTAGCAGTTTTATAACTATATCCGTGAAAATACTCCCAAAATTGTTTCCGCCTTATTTAAAAATACCGACAAAATTGAAAATGAGATCTGACACACCCGAGTCCGCGACCTACTTTTGCGCGGGAAACCTAAAAGCTGCATTTGGCAATTGGCGTTCAAACATTGAAATCGTCGAGGTTGAAATATTTTATAAGAGTTTTCATTAGTATTTGAAAGAACCATTCAAGTCTACTAATTTTGCATGGGGCGATATAGAAAATCGTTTCCTTCCAAGGTAAACTTTTTATGAATATTCATATATTTATTAAAATATGATATATAGATCTTTCTGGGGAGTGCTGCGCTATATAAAATGTATTGGTATTAAAAATGGTGGTTGAATGGGGACCATATAAATTAAATTTAGGGATTCAGTATACTGTTTATGTGACGACGATCGGCTATATTATGGCAGTCATGCATGAATTTTGTTATCAACGGTGGAGTGCCCTGTTGTGGGAGTCATCATCAATAACAACTTTATAAGATTCCAAATATGAACTATATATCAAAGAGTCATTGTAGTTGCTTCACACATATTTAAATAAATTTTATTGTGTGAAATATGTAATTGCTTCACACATATTTAAATAAAATTTATTTAAATATGTGTGAAGCAATTACAATGACTCTGTGGTATATAGTTCATATTTGGAGTCATATAAAGTTTTTATTCTCGAGTAAAGGATTTTCGATTTGAATATTGTTCAAATTGTTGACCAATTATTTTCTCAATTTCCCTCTCTCACCAGGGAACAGAGTTAATTGATAGAGAAATCCTGACAGGCAGGGCTGGTTGTTTCGAAAATAATTAAAGTGTGAAAAGCCAATTGATGATTACAAGTTACCTAAAATACACCATTAGATATTTATAGTACGGGTGAATGCAAATTATATAGTTTAGCTGGGCCATTATAGTGAACCAGGGTGTTTTTTGGTATTAAACTTCTTTAACTTCCTTTAATTAAGTCAGTACTTCACTTGTTAGCTGTACTTACATTACAATTAATACAGATATAAAATAATTAATTATTAAGGGAAGTTAAATTGCAACTCAATAGGTAACTTGCAACAAATTAAAGTTTATAAGTTCACGGCAACCAGGTATATCATCCATAACAATTATCGCTACTCTGGTTTAAATGAAAGTAATCACCACACTTTATTAAACTTTCATGACCCAGTAACTTGCAAATATTTGACAACAGGTTAGTTCATAAAAAATGCCAATCCAGAGATAGATTTATTGGGTACCCATTTATTTATTTTTATGGTTTGTTTAGGAAAAAAGTGGAACTTGCTGGTTAAAATCATGCTCAAATCATGGTAAATTTTACAAACGGTTAGATAACCATATTAGTTTGAGACATAGAGGGACCACTTTTACAGAGGCAAAAAGAATACCAAATGAATGTCAAAATAGAATGAAGAAAATAAAGAAGTATGACCACCCACCTCTACAAATAGACCTATCCTACATGTGTAACACTGTTAATGATAGTACCTGTGAGTCCTCTGCCATATTAAACACAGACAAAAATAGAGCAAAGAGGTGCCTGTTTGAAGATTCTTTGACACAGAAGAAAAATATTTCAAAGAAGTCCATATTTGTAAAATCACAGAGTCGGAGAGCGCATATTACAAGTTCAAAGACACCAAGTACACCACACTTCATGACCCGTATTAGCAGAACATGCATGCCTGCAGCTAAATTACTTGAATTACCCGAACTTGAATCCATTCGGTTTATAGTTCACAACACAACATCATATGCTGTACGCTCCTTGTTGTTTTTCGTTAATGAAAGGGGTAAATTGGTCGAGGACTACCATAATTCACTTTTATGCAGACAAGTCTTTGGACCAGTTTCTCTGTCTTTTCTGGAAAAAGTTTGGCAACACCGTATTGTGATAATGAGTTATTACCGTAAATTGGGAATGTTCCCAAACATTGGAAGAAGAGTTGACAAATGCTTGGCATGTAAGAAAAAAAATAGAAAATGTGAATGCCCATGTTTGGATGAGTCTGTTTTCCTCTTCTGTAAACAATCCTGCAATGTGGATACATTTGAATGTCAAAAATGTAAAAATTGGCCAATTCTATCGCACATTTGCTATGACTTCTTTTTCTGCCAAAAATGCCATGAAATCTATAAGGAAGCTCCAGCTTACATGAAACCATCAACATATTGTATATAATATTAACGTGACTCTCTATCTCTCTATAAAAAAGACCGTTTATTAAATAAGTGTTGTAATTAACTGCAAATCCGCCATTTTTGGGGACCATTTTTATAACCGTAAAAGATCTAAGAGATAATATACCTTTTGCATTATAGACTAGTTCTCTATGAATTAATGTATGAAAATGCAATTAAATTATGGAAATTCCAAATTTGGTTGCGAATTGTAAAATGCGGAAAGTATGGCTTTGCAAAGTTTTGCTACCAATTTTATTTTTAGTACGCTTTTTTCAGCTGTGGTAATTTGCATTTTCATGCATAGATCAAAAAGTAGTCTATAATGCAATAGGTCTATTGGTGGTTAACACTAGTATTACACTCCATTGCTGTCTGTGAACACGAATATTTGAATATCAGCTCCCTCTTATTATTTATATTCCGCCGTCCCTGTATAAGATTATACATAGAAAGTTCAATTTTTGCGCTCTCTAGTCTCTTCCCAGCCTGTCCAAAACAAGACGCGATAATTGGGGAGGTGCATATTAATAAAAAAGGTGGCGTGATAATATCGAATTGGCATTCTTTTTTTTGTTAATTAGTTCGGTTAATTGGAAAAAGATAAGTGTTTGGCCATTCATATAGCTGCCCTACGGCAAGGCTGTTTTCTCCATATTTATCTGGATAAAATGATGTCCTGGTTTTTGCAGTCACTGCTAAAAATGATATTTTGGACGAATCGTCTCTTATGGAACAAGAATGAAGTTCCCTTCCAGGAAATACAGTCGCATGTCCAAAGAGCTCTGTTTTCCCATTCTCTTTTCCGACGACAAGAACATTGTCTCCTACATAATAATTTTTAGAATGAAAAATTAGAAATTCCTTTCGAAAAAAAGGATGAACAATCATGTTTCCTAGAAGGAAAGCTTACCATGTTTTGGAATGTAACCTTCATTTGGAACTGATAGTTTTAAGCATCTTCTTGAAGGTTGTTGTTGTTGTTGATGCTGTTGTTGTTTTGGTTGCTGCTGCTGTTGTTTAGGATGTTGTTGTTGTTGCTGCTGTTGTTGATGTTGTTTCTCTTGTTGCTGCTGCTGTTGTTGTTCTTTTGCTTGTTGGTCTTGTTGTTGCTGCTGCTGTTGTTCTTCTACTTGTTGGTGCTGTTGTTCATGATGCTGTTGTTTTTTTTGTTGTTGCTGCTGCTGTTGTTGAGGATGTTGTTGTTGCTGTTGCTGATGTTGTTTCTCTTGATGCTGCTGCTGCTGTTGTTCTTTTGCTTGCTGGTTTTGTTGTTGTTGCTGCTGCTGTTGTTGTTTTTGCAGCTGTTGTTGTTGCTGCTGCTGTTGTTGTTGCTGCTGCTGCTGTTCTTCTTCTTGCTGTTGCTTTTGTTTGTTTCTTTGCACTAAATTAAGAGACAAGTATGATATACTCTATCAATAAAATTGTGACAGTGCACTATGCAAATTGAACTATGCAAATTTAACCGATATTGCAATGGCACAATCAACTTATCCCTGCCTCAACACACGGACATACATAGGTGTATAATATATTGTATATTATATATATATATATATATATATATATATATATATATATATATATATATATATATATATATATATATACATATATATATATATATTAATATAATATATTGAAGTTCATATCTTCAATAGGATTCTATTATTACCTAACACGATTTAATAAACATTGTTACCAAGGCTGGTAAACTGCATGAAATAAATACATGTTATTTTTTATTAGGGTTTTAATTTCACATTGTACCTGTCATAAATCGCTCAAAAAGTGCCACAATGGCATGTCCTTCTTCAGATCGATCTGAAGAGGTTCTCCCAATAAACATCTCTGCCAATCCTTCTGTTCCATAGGTAGAGATGGTGTAACCCAGCCCATGCTTCTTGTGGGTAAGAATGACAATATCACACTGATGCCGTTCGTGTAATATACGTGCCTTGAAAGAAACAAACAATTTGAAGTATTAACTTTATATTTCAGAAATATAATGACTTAATTTTTATATTTTTACATCCTCAAACATTTCTTTCAGCTTACCCGTGCATGCATCATGTCTTTTTGATCCGTTGGATTTGTTTTCCCTTTCTTCTTAATTTTTTCAGCACTAATCTTTATTTTTTTTCTAAAAACATTACCACATTCCAAACATGTTCTCTTTGCTACAGGTTGTGAGACACCACATTCAGAGCATATCTAAAATTAAATTTAAAATTTCTATGCATCAGTTTACTGTAAGTTTATATGACGTGGGTTTCTGGGACATCTGATTTATAGCATGGGTTCTCACACATCTAACTTAATACTTAATGCTCTTAGCAAGATCTAAAATAAGCTATTCATATTATATCTGTTCTCTTGCAGGGTTGTTATTGATTGGTGTTCCCATTGTTAAATGGGCATGTATTACTATTCTGTGGGTATATGTTAATTAGTGTAAGGAAAACAAGAAGAATACAATTAAACCTTCTTTGAGAGGGGTCTGTTTGCTGTTCTTTTACCTTTATCTATAAAAAAATAACAAACAAAGTCCAACTCCTACTTTTCAAACATTCATATACTCTACTCTTTTTCCATATACAGGACATTCAAACTAGAACAAAGACAGCCAGCCAACTATTACGGCACACAAATGTTTAGGAGTCAAGCAGAGCATTCAAATAGGTTAGGTACCTGTTAGTCTAGCTGCAACACATAAAAATTTGCATAACTTGTAGCAACAAGTTTTTTGTAACAGATTTGTTACAAGGTTGTTACAATCTTGATGACACACATTGTGATAATTTGAATATGTGAACAATGAGAGCAATTGTTTCACTGAGTTGTACATTTTCAATTTCTGTGATTACAGTTGGAATTTTTAAACAACAAGTTTTCAAAGGAGGGAACTGGAACACTGTATTTCAAGTAAACTTTAGATTTAACAATGCAAAGTTGCAATTGTGATCACAAAAACGTTGACATGCAAACCGGGCATTAAAATGAATACAATCACCCTGGGGCCAGTTGTATCAAGCCCGTTTAGCTTAAATTACACTCTTACATCTCTCTTGAATGAGTCAACTTGAATATTATGCATTGAATATGTAGTTGTAAACAGTATCTTTGTATTAAGGTAAAAAACATTTAGTTTGCTTGCTGCTATAATATCCCCGGTTTAAGCTAAACGCGATGATACACAATTTTCACAAGACAAGAATTATAACTTTGCTAGCTAGACAAACTAATTAATAACTAAATCTTTCTGCCTCGCTCGCTAGCTTATAGGCTAACTCGCTTCTGCCGAAGTAATTCATTGTTAAGGACTGTTAGTCCTTCAAACATTTAATCCTGTAAAGCTTAGAAGTTAGAATTTTCCTCATTTGCCTTTAATAATAAAGCGGTTAAGCGGACTTTTATAGTTCGCTCACTCCTCTTTAATAGTTAATAAACGCCGCCGTTCCTCACAATATCGTATAATCAATTATTGATATTGACTACGAGATGATTACAAAATTTGGCGACAAGTCTATAAATTTCTTATGAATTATTCATGTACCTACCACTGGATGAGTCGCTGGAACATTCCGCCATGTTTGCTCAGTGCTCACAGTTGCGCAGTTCTGTCTGCGTACAACTGTTTAAATTCGATGTCATCTGCGCATGCATGGCATTCATGGTTATCACGAATTCATTTGAATTTAACATTTCATGATAATCACGAATCTCATTTGGAGATCGTGTTGTAAAATCCCAACTCCCGAGATTCTAATTTCGACCCCAGTCCTCAGCCTTGGCGCACCCTAGTACCCAGTCCGCTCATTGTGCGTTTATAAAGCGGTACAAGCGGAAGCGGTACTTCTCTGCATAACCGATTGTACAAATAGTCTTTATTGAGTGACTTTGAGTAACGTTTTTGCCGCAAGTATTAATTTACACTATACAGGGTGTATCAGAAAAAACTAGAAGATTTTAAAATGTTCAGAAAACTATCATTTTATCAAGATATCTCAAAAATATATTTACGTCTAAGTATTTTAGCATCTTCTGGCTTATCTAACAGTAAAAACTAGCAGAAAAATTAACCTCGAAAAGCGGGAGAACGGCTTGTAAAAGCCTCATTTTTAACCGCTTGTGCAAAGAAAATGAGACGTTGAAAATCCAAGTTCAGTTAAAGAGGTGAAAGTTTGGAATCTTTTGTGCAATGTATCGCAATTTCAAAAAATTTGATAAACATTAGGTCCGCCGCGAAACGTTTCAAAATTGGATTTTTTTCCCGTTTACTCCGCTCTCTCGTAACTTTTTACACGCAAGAATGATTACATGCATGAGTTTCTCGCATTTCTCTTTCAGCTTCCTCTCTTTCTTTGGTTGCCTTTATAGACTCCTTTAGCACTTCTATCATTTCCCCACTCCTTTTCCGTTTTCCATTTGGCATCTCCCCATCTACATTCTCACTATTCAACCTCTTCCTCGTCTCACCAAACCTCTCGACCGCACGCTTCCTCATCTCTTCAGCTGTTTCCTTTTCCCGCAATTCCTTCAGTTTTTCTTGCTCACTTTCTGCTTCGCACTCTTCCATCCTCTCCATGATATCTAGCAATGCTTTGTCCTTCTCTGTATAGTCAACATCCACACCACTAGCTCTCTTCTCAACCGCTTCTTTCTTCTTAAATGCATCCATCATCCGACTAAACCGCTCCCTCACCGATCTTTGGCTGACCTTCATGCCAAATTCTTCCAAATGTTCGGCAATTGAAGTCCACTTGTATGGCTCAAAAGTTAGCACTTCCCCCAACAAATATCTGTCATGGTATTCGCGCCAAACAAAGACACCCTTTTTCCCCGTCTCATTTGTGTTTTCGCTTTCCATCTAAAAAGACAATAAGTTAAATTTATGTATAAAATATATGTCTGTTTAAATGGTAAATAAGTATACAAACAATACAATAAAAATGATTTGATTTAATAAAAAAATTCAAACTGTATTTTATAAAAATAAACGCTTGATATATAAACACGGTCTTCGTAGCATTTTGCTTTTAAAATATTAAGAAATTTTGACATTAGTTGAAGCCGTCGATTCGGTTGAAGATTTATATCAAGAAAAACAGCACAACCATAAACGTAGACACGAAGAAGTGGACACATCTTGACGAAAATTTTATAAACAAAATGTAAACAAAGTTGTACTCAGACTTTACCGACAGGCCCTTCCACTTCCGGTTCATAAGAAAATATTCTGCATAATAATAAGAGATATAGCCACTTAGCTATAACCATATATAACGCCTTACCTTTTAAAATTCCTTCACGGCTTCACCACGTAGTCGAGACTACCAAGTTTTTAAAAAATGTCGTACTAGACGAGGCGACGGCTACAAAGTTTTTGCGCAAACCCTACTAGCGATAGCTGACCGTGGCGTGATTGGCGCGCAAATGACGAATCTCGTAGCCGTAGCGGGAGCCGTAGTCAAATCTAAAGCTCTCTATTCTTGATGTTGGTAGAATGCATTTTATGGACCTATTATTGGAAATGCGGAGTAAGGCGGTTCTTTGCTAGGAAAAAGCGTAGAGCCTATAGCGTGACAATGCAGGAATATTTGTTTTACTTTACAATTAATACGACTTTTTTGCCATCTAGTCACTTGAAATTAAATAAATATAAACTTATAATATTAAACAATGTCTACCAAGTGTATTTTGCGATGAAATTTTAGCTTTAGGACTTTAGGTCAGTTTAGGATATCCGTTTCGTACAAATATTGTTGTCAAAATTGCACATCGCTATAAACTTGTTCCGTTTTTGGACGACTTGCGCTTTAGACTAACTTTTGATCGAAGTAACTACAGGAAAATAAATCACCACAGCTAGAAAGATCTTACTTAATTTAGTAGAACTGCCAAGTTTGGCTGCGAAATTTTGTAAAATATGGAAAATATAGCCATGCGAAGTTGGCAAATTTTGTATACTTTTGTATTACGTGCGGAAACGTGTAACTAATTTAGTTACAAACTTCCGGCCGTAATACAAAAGTATACAAAAATCGACAACTTCGCATGGCTATATTTTTCGTATTTTACAACAATTCGCCGTCATACTTGGCAGTTTTACTTATTTTAGTAAGCTCTTTTAGAAAATATCCTTTTTATCGCTGATGTAAGAAATTAGTCTAAAGCGCAAGTCGTCCATTCGTAAACAGTTCACCTGGTTGAATTTAAGAGTAATTCCATTATAATTCCATAAAAAAAACATTTAAAACCATGAAACAAACAAAAAATCAAATTTCTTTCAAATTCGCTCTGCATCTGCAGTGTCTCGCGAGTCACGCGCGAATGAAGCCAAAAATTCGCCAAAATTTGCGAGACTTTACTGAACTGAACTGAACAGTGAACTGAACTGAACTTTATTTATCCACGGTGGATTCATCAGGGTTACAAATTGTAGCTACATGTAATTAAACTATAAATAGGAGTGAGACCGTGTGTAGACTTATAAACCATCAACGCTTTCTGAATTTGGCGTTGCGTATTTAGATTGTTCCACCCTAAAATTTCAAAACGTGTAACTAATTTAGTTACAAACTTCCGGCCGTAATACAAAAGTATACAAAAATCGACAACTTCGCATGGCTATATTTTCCGTATTTTACAACAATTCGCCGTCATACTTGGCAGTTTTACTTATTTTAGTAAGCTCTTTTAGAAAATATCCTTTTTATCGCTGATGTAAGAAATTAGTCTAAAGCGCAAGTCGTCCATTCGTAAACAGTTCACCTGGTTGAATTTAAGAGTAATTCCATTATAATTCCATAAAAAAAAACATTTAAAACCATGAAACAAACAAAAAATCAAATTTCTTTCAAATTCGCTCTGCATCTGCAGTGTCTCGCGAGTCACGCGCGAATGAAGCCAAAAATTCGCCAAAATTTGCGAGACTTTACTGAACTGAACTGAACAGTGAACTGAACTGAACTTTATTTATCCACGGTGGATTCATCAGGGTTACAAATTGTAGCTACATGTAATTAAACTATAAATATATACACACTAAAATATATAATACAAATTCAAATGAAACCTGTTTTCCATGAATGCCATGTTTATCGAATATAACGTTTCAACAATCTTTGAAATTCATTTAGGGATTCTGCTTGTCTGATATTAGTAGGTATAGGCTGTTCCACAAGACCGCGCCACTATAACTAAAGCTGTTTTTAAGATAATTGGTGCGGGGTAATGGAACAGCAAGCTTATTTATTTATTTATTTATTTATTTCAAAACTTCATGTACATGAATAACAACGACACATACATAGGCAGGTGACAACAGGGCTATAACACCCTAGCTAAGGCCACCCACCTCTATTTAAAAACGAAAACAGACAGAAGGACAGACGGACGGACAGAAAGATAAACGGACTTGTATATATAAAGATAAGCTTGTTCATAGAGTCTCTGAGTGAATAGTTAGTTACATCGTTACGATTTATAAATTTGGAATGTAGATATTTAGGAGTGAGACCGTGTGTAGACTTATAAACCATCAACGCTTTCTGAATTTGGCGTTGCGTATTTAGATTGTTCCACCCTAAAATTTCCAATATATGTCCTGCATCGGCGTCAAAGTTTGAAAAGGTTAATACTCGAGCTGCTCGGTTTTGTAGTTTCTGGAGTTGATTGGCTAAAGTCTTTCCACAGTTCCCCCATACGACGTTACAATAGTCAAAGTAAGGTTGTATTAGAGCTTGATAGATAAGGTATAATGTTTCTGATGAGACAACAGACTTCAAACGCTTAATAATGCCGATACCTGAAGCTACTTTTTTAGTTATTTTGTCGATATGATAACTCCAGGTTAAGTTCTCATCAATTAAGACGCCAAGAGATTTTGTTTTAAAGACTCTTTTGATTGGAATGCTATTGATTTCGAAATTAGGATTTTCAGAAAGTGTTCTCAATCTTTGCCTTGAACCAATTAACATGTATTCAGTTTTAGTCATA